CCTGAGGGCCACCTAGCTCAGCCCTCTGCCAGGTGTAAGACACACGGGGGCCGATCTGAACACTGGCCCTGTGCTGGAGAAGCCTACAACAGACCACCAAGGTGGAGAGGGGGACCTGTGTCTGAGGAGGGGGGTGATCAGGGGATACCTCTAGAGGAGATGGCTTTGGCGTTGGGCCTTATGTGCATGAGCCATGGGTTAGCACCTTTGATGTGAGGGTGGCAGGAGACAAAGTCTGAGGATAGCTCCAGGCCTAACTGCTTATGGAGCAGAATAGTGACAGTCAGGCTGTTGGGAGAACCATGGGAACCTGGGCTGGTTTGTCTGAGAGTCAACTGGGGTAGGTTCAGGAGCCCTGTGCACCAGGCCACCAGGACTGCGTTTTTCCTGGAGACAGTGGAGGAGCCATGGAGAGATTTGGAGGTGCCACAGGAAGCCTGTGATGAATGCAGCCTCTTCCCTGATCAGCCAGGCTGAAGGCTCCTCCCAGGGAGCCTGTGGGAGCTACTCAGGCAAGAAGCATCTGTGGGAGACAGAGCTGGTGGCTGGCCACCCCCAGGGGCTTCTTTGCATCAACCGTTAGCTTGAGCAAGAATGCAGGTGTTTGGGATCCTGGCTCAAACCCTTTTTGCTCCTGTGCAAGCTCAGATGTGCTTGCCTTCTCTGTGCTAGCACTTCCCGTGCCTGAATGGGGAGCTCCCAGCAGTTTCATCCCAAGGGTTAACTGAGCAACTAGATACAGAGGGGTTTAACATAGAAGGGTGGTTATTTTTATCGTTTTGGGTTGGAAGAGAGAGCCTGGCTCTGGCCCAGCACTCTGGGTACCCAAGTGCTATGCTCTGGGTATTTCACTTAGGTATAGCTGTATACCATAGCTTCTGTGCCTCTGGGAACCATGATGGTAGACATCTCCCTGGGTAGGTGAGAGGCCCCTGAGCTGCCTCTCTGTGGATGCTCCTCAGTATCTCATAGGGTCATCTCTCAAGGATGATCTGTGACCTAAAAACATTTTGGGGTCAGGCCTGCTCAGGAGTACCTGGGGCTTCCACTGTCCTACACTCTAGGCCCAGGAAATGGGTTCAGCCAGAGGGTCACTCTACCCCAGAAATGCCCACTTTGGGCCTGAATGCTTGCTCTGGAGAAGCAGAAACTAGGGCCAGGCAGGCTCTGTTTCAGCTGCTTGCTATAGAGAAGCGTCTGTAGCCCCATCAGCTGTCAGGGAACCCAACTTCACGCTTCAGGGGGACCCTGTAATGATTGACCATGAGGAGGTCATTTATATTGGCTAAGCGAGCCTAATTAGGTTTGATCTGAAGGTTAGCAGAAGCACACAGAAAAGCTGTTAAGGGGTTAACCTCAGAGAGATTACGTTGTATTCAGTGCTCTGTTAAAGTTTGAATTAATTTTTCCCATGGGTTTGCTCACATTCTAATTTTCAACTAAATGAGACATCTGTTTCAGAAAAGGAAAATTTGCTCTGGTTGTCATGGCAACTATCATTCTGTAAGAAAATTATTCCAATGGTTACTTTAGAACAGAAAGACAGAGATTCGGGACATAAAGCCGCCTTCGGCTCAGTCGGAATTCTGATGGGCCACCCTCCATGGCTAAGAGATGCCTTGGATGGAGAACCCAGTGGCAGGGGGAGGTAGAGCCAGGTCCAGGTATTAGGTCATGGTGGAAGTTGGTCCAGGGGCCCTTGGGCATCCCAGTATCGTGGCCTGAGCATCATGGGTGACATTCCGAAGTCAGGTGGCAGTGAGGGCCAGGGCAGTGTGTATGTGTGTCTTTCCTGGGAAATGCCAGACAGCCATACAGAGCCACATAGAGAGCTGGTCACTGTGGTTATCCACTGTGCTAAGCTTCACTGAATACAAGCGCATCGATGCACCCCCCCAAATAGCACTGGAGGCTCCAGTGCAGACTGTACACTGAAGATGGTACCTCCTTTGTCTCCTGGGCCAGAAGCAAGTGGCAGCCCAAAGGCCTCAGTGAGGTCCCTGGAGTCTGCTCAGATCTTAACGGTTGGCATAGCCACCTAGGCCTGCCCAAAACCCAGGGAAAGCCCTCGTTGAAACTACCTCAGAAATATCTTCCAGAAACTTCCTTTCAGGCTCTGCCTCCCTCTACTTCCCAATGGTAATGATAGCTAATAGCATCCGGGGGCATTGCCTGTGTGGAAATATTTCCCTGAGGCAATCCGGCTGCCCTCATCAGTCCCTCTTCCTCCATGTTGTAGGGCACAGTAGCTGCCCTCAGGAGTCGAGCTTGGGAGAGGTGAAGGGCCATTCTGGGGCAGATTCAGTATGGCTGACCCCAGACCTCCAAGAGCTGAAGTCCTGCTGACTGCTGCTCCCTACCAGACAGGAGCTCGCCTGTGCTTGCTTTGGGGGTGAGTTGTTGGGAGTCTCATGGCCCACAGGTGGGTGGGGTGAGCCAGGGAGGGAAGGAGAGGTCAGAGACAGGTGTGGGAGAAAGTTCAAGACCTGCTGAGGTCTGATTCCCAGCCTGCTCTGCCTGGAGTGCTGTGCTCCTGGGGTGAGTGGCTCCTCTGGGTATCCCCACGAGAGAGTCGTGTTCAGTTTTCCCTCCAGAGCGAGGTTCGGGAGTGCTGAGGGGAAGCTGGTTGGCAGAGGTGCTCCGGGCTGGCTTCCAGGGTTCGTGGGATATCTGCTGTGTTTCTGAAAGCTGCACCCTGTAGTGGCTCAGGAGAACTAACGGGCATCTTTTCCCATATGGATGAGGCCCTGTGCTGCATCAGACACAAGCCGTGCCCCGTGCCGTCTGCCGGCAGGACGCTGAGGGGCAGGATGCTGCTGTGTCCTTTTGGACCCCGACTCCTGTCGCTTCGGCTGCACAGCTCTGAGAATCCTAGACAGTGTGGCAGGCACAGTCCAAAGGATCTGTAAAGAGAAGCTGCCAGTGCCAACCACGGCCATGACACAAAAGGACTGACCCTGTGACCAGGGCATGCACCTGGACCAGGGCGGGGGCGCGCTGTTTAGTTAAAACTATCTAGCTGAAGTTTTGCTTCTTGCTCTCAGCTCCTCTGAGGTCTCCTCTCCTGCATTCTCACTAGAACGGTCAAAAATGCAACTTGAAAATCCCTGCTGTAGACAAAGCCTTACACCCAGGCTTGGCGGGTGGCTCCTAGGAGGTGTCCGTGGTGATGGGTGTGGTGGGGATGATGGTGGTAGTGGAGGTGATGGTGATGATGATAACAATGGTAGTTTCGATGAGAGACGATGGTGAAGATGATGGTGGTGGTGACGGAGATGAGGATGATTGTGCCAGTAGGGATGATAATGGTGATGTCCACGTGGGGGTGACAGCGGTGACAGTGGTGATGACATACTGGATAGGGGTAGTGAAAGCGATGATGTAATGGCTGTGGTGGAGGTGACAGTCGCACTGGGGATGGTGGTTATGGATGTGCTGATGTGGACGGTGGAGGTAACGGTGATGGAGGAGATGGAATGGAGGCGTGGCGTCAGGGCGCTGAGTCCTCAGAACTCCCGGCACAGGGCTCCTGAGGACTCAGGTATCTTTGAGTCATGGTCACCCTAATTCTCTTAAAACTCACCCGTGTTCAAGGTCACACAGGTGCAAGTAGTGGACCATCATGACCTCAGTCAGTTTGGTTCCAGGTTCCTTAAAGCTGTGTGGAGAGCAGGGGAGGGGGGAGAAGTGGGAAGGGGAAAAGGAGAGGGGAGAGGGAAAGGGGGAAAGGAGAGGGGAGAGGGGGAGGGGTGGAGAGATGTTTTCCTTCAGGAGACTGCTTAGCTTTCCACAGATGGACATGAGCAGGCCTGAGTAGGCATGTCTGAGGGAGGAGGCTCCTGACTGACCCACCTCTGCCCAGTGCTGTTCTTTCAATGGAGGGTTCTGGTCTAGCTAGATAGACACTTCCCATGTGTGAGAATCCTGTGGGAAAGGTGACCATTCTGTGGCTGGGCCTTGATCCCTGGTTCTCCCTTTACACACCTGGAGTGAGAATCATGGCCTCCTCTGGCCCAGGGACAGAGTCACCTTCTTCCCAGAGCCTGCTCCAGTGGGCAGAGCCCACATGCGGAGCCAAGCTGCCTCTAAATGCCTGGCGCTTAGGAGTCGGGACTGGGGTGGGGCCGGATGGTGTGCGCTGCATGGCATGGCTCTGGCAAGCTTTCCTGGATCTCTGTGTGATGAGGGACCAACCTCAGCTTTGAGGTGCTGGCTATGACATAAGGTACCAGGGCTCATCAGTGTCCTGATCACAGTCACCAGAGGGCCCTCAGCCCCATTTACACAGTACTTACCTGCCTGCAGGGCTGGGGCCTGATACAGAAAAAGGACCTTTGATGCCCCCCCCCAAGTGACACAGGGTGACCACCGATCCTTCACACAGGTCCTGCACTGCATTGCAAGTTTGATGATAAAGACAGTAGGTCTGGGTCTGAGCGATGGCTCCACTGGCCCTGTGTCACCTGGGCATCTTCCCTTCTTGTGTAACACCTAGCGAAGACCTCAGTCATACGGCACAAAGGCTACTAGGATAAGGCTGGGAGTTCCTCAGTGGGGTTCTGTGGAACTTCTGGGAATCCTAAGTAGGGGTGTTGGTGGCTGCCATCGGTGTAGAGCCCTTGGGTTTACAGGTAGGGGTGTCAGCCATGTTGGCCAGGAGTAGGATTCAGGTAGCAACTTGGGGTCCATGAGGGGTCATGAGGGCAATGTCTGGCCTGATCAGCTCACAGCGTGTGTGGTGGCGGGCAAATTAAAGAGCTGCTTGCACCACCTGGCTGCATCTGCTCCTGGGGTCTGCCTCACTCCGTTTGGCTCCATTGACAGCAGCTGGCTGCTGTTCTTGCAAAAGTCCTCCAGACATTCCCAGTTTCATTTGGTTGAGTGAGCTCCCAGGTGTCAAGCTCTGTCCTCATAGCTGCTTAGCCCTGTGACCCGTACCAGTCTCTGTGACTGAGCCATGCTCTTAAGACACCCCCTAAAGCACCCCTCTTCTCTCCTAGGCAGCCCTGGTTTTATGGCTGGGGATTCAACCTTCCGCGAGGCCAAGCACTCTTGGAGAAATGGAATCTCATCCCAGAAGGAGTCGACATCCTTATAACTCATGGACCCCCTCTGGGTAAGGTCTTCTGTCTCTGGTTTGCCTGGGCTGGAGGCTTTGGAGGATGGGGTGTCTGGTGTCTGGGGCTGTACCCAAGGAGCCCTGGGTTGGTCTGGTGGGTTTAACTTGCTGGAGTGCCACTCTTACCAAGCCAGTGTCCCCAGGGCTGAGAGCTCCACCTCCCAATGTTGCCCCTGTCTAGTGTGCCCCTACTGTGGTCTGAGCTGAGGCTGTGGATCACCTGTTGTCCCTTATAGGATCCACTGGCTTCCTGCCTGGGGTCCCTCAGCTCACCCCAGCCTGCCCCAGCCTGCCCCAGCCTGCCCCAGCCTTCCCCAGCCTGCCTCAGCCTGCCTCAGCCTGCCCTAGCTGGCCCCAGCCTGCCCCCTCTGCTTTCCTTCTAACCTGCCTCCCAGTTCCCTCCCTTTTCCCATGATGCTGATGGCCCCCAAGCCTGCATCTTGTTTAGCCGCTATAGCCTCCTCATTGCCCTCCAGGCCTGGGTACCTGCTCCTGCTCCATTTTCAGTGGAGGAAGCCCTGAGGCCAGGGCCTCTGCTGGGACAGCACAACAAGATGCTGACCGGGCTTGTGCCCCTCCCCCACAGGGCCTCCAGCCATTGGGCCAAGTCCTTCCTCAGTTTCACCTGAGCCACGTGGTTCTGTGGCCTTCCTCTTCTCATCCTAGTTCCTGCTCTCTTCCTTTGCTTCCTCCATCTTATTTCCTTCCCTCCTTCCTCTTCTCCTCTTCCCCTTCTGTTCTTCTGATTATGTATCCATCCATCCATCCTCACCTATTCATCCATCCTTCATCTATCTACACACCCTCTATCCATCCATCTACCCATCCATCCATCCATCTACCCATCCATCCATCCATCCATCCATCCATCCATCCATCCATCCATCTGTCTCCTTTGGTCTCGCTGCTCTCCAGATGCCCTGCCCCAAAGCCACAAAGCACACTGCACACCTGCTTTGGGAATGCCCCTAGGCACCATGCCCCAGCAGGTGCTAATGTACTTCATTTCAGATTGTAGTCATCAGGGAAGTTGGGGACACTAGAGACCCCCACTCCAGTCCCATCTTAGCCCACATTGCCACATAAGGATGGCTTCCAGATTCTAGGGCAGCACTTCTGTCCATTGGATGAGGCCAAGGTGCAGAGATGTGAACCAGTCTGTGCAATCTGGAGGAGCTGTGGAGATTAGGACCTAGCTCTACCACGAAGCCCAGTCCTACTCACCACCCACTGCATGTCTGTCTCCTCCCTCCCCTCCATCCCCCTGCCTGGCTGTGCTCTGGGTCTCAGCACCTCCCTAGCGATGAAGCTTGCTGGGCACACTGAGTTGAAGCTCTCCAACCCTTGCTGGCAGCTCCGTAGCTTCTCTCACCCACCCAAACAGAGAGGGGCCAGCAGAAACCTGATTGCTCACTCGAGTCGCTGATTATTTTTCGTTTGTGTAGCCATGGAAAGATAATAAGCCACCACCATATGGGGCAGCTCCGGAAGGCTGGCGGCCAACAGACACAGTGGGCACCACGAGAGGGTGTCTCAGCCAAGGAAACTAGCTAGCTTCATGCTTCTGTGCACCACTCCCACCTCCATGTATCCCAGGCTGGGCTCAAACTTTTGATGTAGCCAAGGATGACCTTAAACTCATGATATTTCTGCCGCTACCTTCCCTGCGCTGGGATCAAAGCCTTACGCTATCACATCTACAGTGCCCTAGAGCTTCACGCCAGATAGGCAAGTAGCCTACCAACAGAGCTGGGCCACAGCTTCTGTGGGGTTTCGTAGAGAAAGTTTCTGACTGGGAAATTCCCCTCTAAGGCTATGGAGGCTCCACTTTACTTCCAGCCACTGGAATACCATGGACTCAGTTTGCCCGTCTCTGTAATGGGTAGCTCCAAACAGCCACTGGAGTAGCTACAGGCTGAGATCTGTAGTAGTTATATACACCTGGACCCGGGTGCTAGCCTCCCATGGGCTCTTGTATAGGAGTCTATTAGCCCTGTCAAGGAAGAGAGATTGTGCCTCCAGAAGCTTCGTAGTAATGGGGCTTTTCTCTGAGGCATGGCAGAGTTCTGAAGCTTGCTGCACTGGGAGAGAGGATCTATGCTGGGGCTGTAGCATGCAGGTCCCACCCAGTCTGCACTAATAGATGCCCGAGATGCAAGATGGCCGCTGTCCCTCTCAACGCCTGGTCTTCCCACACAGGCTTTTTAGACTGGGTCCCCAAGAAGATGCAACGCGTGGGCTGCGTGGAGCTGCTCAACACGGTCCAGAGGCGAGTCCAGCCTCGGCTACACGTCTTTGGCCACATCCATGAAGGTAAGTAGGCGGGCAGGAGGGGAGGGAACCTACGTGGGGTGCCTCTAACTGGCCCTTCAGAGGGAGTTCTTACCTTCCTTAAATCCTGCTCACTAGCGCCCTCTCTGACTTCTGCAAGAAATAGCCCACCTCTGTGGCCTATGCATAGACCACTTCACACACTTGCGGCCATGGTTAGCATGGCCATGCTGCTGGCTAGCAGAAGGTGAACTCACCGAAGTGGTGGGGACGTCTGCACCGTGGGCAGGTAGCTCACAGTCCTGACCACTCACACTGCCCCCCACGGCCCATCCTTGTATATCAGCGCACCTTCTTAGTCCTCAAGTGTTCTTCCTGGAGCCCAGTTTCAACATCTGATGCAAACCCTTGCTGTTGACTGTTCTGCTGTCCCTGTCTGTGGTTGGACCAGGGTTGTTGGGCCCTCACACCGCGTTCATCTAACAGTTTAATAACGTGGAAGCAAATAAACTCTGGCCATTTCTTGAGCATCTCTGAGCGCTGTTCTTGGGAGTCAGGATGGTGGAGATGCTCTCAGATGGCTGAGCAGCAGACAGGCAATCAAAGGCAGAGCATGGGAGCTCGTGGGGGAAGCCCAGGAACAGTGAGTTTATAATGCTGACTGACTTCTTGGGTCTTCTTGTGGGCATTCAGGACCAACCTATATAAGGTTGCCTGTGACCCAAACCACACCTGTACATATTTGTATAGGCAAAATGGTGCTCTAGAGAAGAAAGGGAGAGCGTCCCTTTTGGTGTGAAGATGGTGTGAACCAGAAGAAGGGACTTTAGCAAGCAGAGGTGGTGGAGAGGGCATGTGATGGAAGACAGGGATGTGACAGTGGTTACCGTGGTGATTGTGAGGAAACCAGAGATGACAATGAGGGTCACCGTGGTGATGACAGTGGTGACAAAGATGGCGGTGGTAACCCTCTGAAGATAGTGGGGATGGTGGGGATATCATGGCAGGGCAACGCTTTGTAAGGAAGAGGGTCTTGGTGATGGTGATGGTAGTGTGGTGATTGTCACAAGGAGGATGATGACTGGTGCTGATGAAGAGATGACATTGATGGTGTTGACAACAGCACTCATGAGGTGGTGGTGGTGGTGTTGATGGTGGTGATAGTATGGATAGGGATGATGATGCCATCCTGATGGCAGTGATGATGTCATGGTGATGATGGCATTGTTGGGGATAGCAACAAGGATGGTAGTAATGTAGTCCAAGGGATAGAACTGATGATGGGCATGGGGATGATGATGTCATCATGATGGGGGGATGATGATGTCATCACAATGGGGGATGATGATGTCATCACGATGGGGGTGATGATGTCATCTCAATGGGGTGATGATGTCATCACGATGGGGATGATGTCATCATGATGGGGATGATGTCATCATGATGGGGATGATGTCATCATGATGATGAGGAGGATGTCATCACCATTGGGATGCTGATGCCATCATGACGTTAGTGCAGTCTGTGGACATAGCACACAAACACATCTGATCCTATCTGGTGAGATGGTGATACTGGGGGACTGTGGAAATCAGGTGTCTATACCTGATCACATCTAATAAGCTGACAGTAGTCACAGAGACCATGCTGATGACACCTGCTAGGGAAGACAATATGAGGATAGTGATGACTTGCTATGTGCTCTTCCTGTGATGTGCACTGACTTTAGCACTGTATTTGAGCGTTGACCTCACTTGGTCCTCCTGGCAGGCTCAGAAGGACCTGTTATCACTTCCATTTGACAGATAAAAAGACCCATCTTTGTGAGCTGTCATAGCTTGCCCCAGACACTTCCCACCCTCTATGGCAGAACACCTGTAGCTGCCACAGCCACCAGAAAGCTCCAGACAATGGTCTGACAGGTGTGTGCTTACTTTCCAGGGTATGGTGTCATGGCGGACGGGACCACCACCTATGTGAATGCGTCCGTGTGCACTGTGAACTATCAGCCTGTGAATCCTCCCATAGTCATCGACCTGCCCACACCCCGGAACTCCTGACTGCTGCCCACCCCTGTTCTGCCTGCCCATGTCAGCTCTGTGTGTCTGCCCGAGAGCCTGGATCCCCTAACCCAATTCCTCCCATGCAGAACAGCTCGGACAGTCCATTTGGCCATGGGACCAGCCAGCAATGTCTAGAATCTTTGGGATAGAAGAAATCGCCTTTGTCAGTCTTCTGCCGCCTGCAGCCGGGGCCTTGAGCAGCCCCGTTGTGGGGCACCAGGCTCATTTCTGTTTTCTGTGTGTGCATCTGCTCTTCACTCTAGGGCCTACCTAGCAAGCTCACAGTCCTGTCTCACTTGGGAAATGACAGAAGCTCCGTTTGACACCCTCTGGCTTTGAGAAGCTGCTGTTTTCGGATGGGATTTGGGAAGTTTTATACAAGATGTCTCACTACCCAAGTGTATCTGTGTGGCTTGTGAGCCCCGAAGTTGGGGGGGGGGGATGTATGGCCTGGGCACAGGTGGCTCTTCTCTGGCTGGAGGAAAGGAGATAGATTTGCTTCTTGTGTGTACGGGTCTTGGGAATGTTCAGGGACATCTCAGGAATTCCAACAGCCCCTGGCCAGGCCTAGAGCAGATGGCTTGGCTTAGTCCCCCATTCCTTCCTCAGGACCCTGCTGCCAATGTGGACAATGGCTGAGTGTCCCCAGCTTCTGCTCAGAGCCTGGATTTGGGCAGGGGTCGGGGGTGGGGTGGGGGAGGAGGCTTTGTTCTTCTGGGTGGCCAGAACCTGCTGGTTACTCATCACAGTCAGGCCATCTTAGATCCCCTGGGATCACACTTCTTTGTAGATCAAAGTGGCCGGGGGTTCTTCGGGCTGAGGCCCTGTGTCTGGTCATATACATGCCCCGTGTGTGTGGATCATGCGCTCCTCCAAACCAAACCAGGTCATTAGCATCTACAATGGGCTCCATTGACTGACTTCCCTTCAGAGGGTTCCAGGAAATTTGTCAGTACCACCGACTACCAGGAGGTGGCACAGTGACAGAGCCACCCTGGGTGCTGATGGCAGCTCCGCCTCTGGCTGCAGCCTTTCTTGAGTAAGGCCTGGGTGAGCCCATCTGCAGGGGGCAGAGCCAGCAGGCCATGAGTCGGGGGAGGCAGAGTCCATTGCTGTTCATTCAAAATGCCAATATTTGTTCTTTGTGGACTCTTTTTGTACTCATTCTGATTCTTAGTAACATGTTACTAAAATAGTATTCTTTGTCCCGACACTTGATGTTCTACACCCTTTATGTCATGCATCAGACACGAGGGCCTCGCTTGCTTGGCCTGGTTCCAGCCTTGGGGACCAGATATCCTGGTACCTTTATTCAGTATAATTTTGCTTTATCTACAGACATTCCTGCAAGGTAGGTACTTTTGCCCTGTTACAGAGATGAGGACACTGAGGCCAGAGAGGAGAGGTCACTTGCCTGAAGATGCACAGCACAAAGGGGGAAGCAATGAGGTTTGGACCTCCATCTCTGGCCTCACACCCTGTCACCACCAGAGTTCTCTCCCTGCAAAGAAGGGCCTGGGTGGAGAGTCTCGCTTAATTTGGAAGGGTCCTGTTCAAAACTGACTCTTGTTCATTCTCAACCAAGAGTCCCTCAGACCATAAGGAATTCTGAGGTTTAAGCCCAGCATCCCAACATCCTCTGAGATCCACTTGAAAGTCTTTCTCTGCAGGTGAGTGAGCTGGGCTCTGTGGCTCACTGTGGGTGAGGCTGCATTCCCAGGCCACCTTTGGTGCCCTACCTTGGCCAAAACAACTGTGTCCCACAGGCCACAGGACTGCGGGAATCTTGCTTGGGTCAAGTGGTTCCTGTGTGTGGGGGGACATTTACCAGGTCTCTCTTCGGTGCCTCAGATGCATGATGTGTTTGAGGCAGAGAAAATACATCTCCTGTGTGCTTTCTCAGCTCCGCAGTTTCTATGTGGACCAAGAACTATAAACTTAAAAAATCTCCTAGGGCATCTTCAGAATGCAGCATATTTTTATGTGGGGAAGAAAAGCTGTGGAGACAGCTGTCTTGAAGAGAAAATTCACTGAAAGTCCTCAAGATTTGAAAGATGGCGGCCTGCTCCTCAATCATTTTGGCATAACTTGATTGTGGCTGTAATTTTTTTGTCAAGCATGTCAGACAATAAAGTCTTTGTAAAAAGAAAAAGCCGAGTTCATCTGGCTGTTCTTTCTGTGGGTGTGTCCCTGGGTCATGAGGGGGCAGAGGGAGGAAGAACTCCAAGACCTAGTGACTAAAGACTGCCCCCCCCCATGTGTTGGGGTGACTGTACTCTCTGCTTATCTAACCCCCACCCCACTCCCCGTGGGCCCAGGGACTGCAGAGGCAGCAGACTGGATGTCTGAGCTTCAAACAAAGCAGTGTGGTGTGGCCCAAGTGCTGGATTATCCTGAATGTGACATGGCCAACCCAGCCATAGGCAGACAAAGGGTTCATGGATTGCCTAAGGGAAGAATCCCAGTCTCAGAGTCCCTCCCAGCTATGAAACTTCTACCATTCATCACCAGCTGTCTATCCAACTATTCATCTTTCCACAGTCATGCTCTTGCCTAATGATTCATACTTTCATATGTCCATCCATCTACTCAGAAAACAAGCACCCATCCATCCACCCATCCATCCATCCACCCACCCATCCACCCACCCATCCATCCATCCAACCATCCATCCACCCACCCATCCACCCACCCATCCATTCATCCACCCATCCATCCATCCATCCACCCATCCATCCAAATACCCATCCATCCACCCATCCATTCATCCACCCATCCATCCATCCACCATCCATCCATCCACCATCCATCCATCCACCATCCATCCATCCACCCATCCATCCATCCACCTGTCCATTCATTCACCTATCCATCCCCCCATCCACACATCCATCCATCCATCCATCCACCCATCCATCCATCCATCCATCAAGCTATTCAGCCAAACAGCTAGCCATCTATCCATCCACAGAATTATCCATTTATCTATGCACCAATAAAGCTGTCCATATATACACTCATCTGACCATACACTACTGATGAAACCATTAATTTACCAAGCCCCCTCAGGATATCACTCCACCCACCCATCCACCCATCCATCCACCCACCCATCAAGTAATCCATCCTTCTTTCCTTCCATCCGTCTTATATACGCTCCACCCAGCTCTCTATCAATCCACCCACAGCCATTAGCACTTCCCAAAGGGCCTGGCTTGGATGCAGAAATGCTGCTGCTGCTGGTAACAGGTTTAGGAGGGGGGACTGATGAAGGCAGGTATGAGGATAAAGGCCCTGGAGAGCCAAGGATGGCAGTAGACGTGGGCTGCCTGTCACTGGAAGGAGGTGTGGGCTTAGAGCAGGTGTCAGAGAAAGCCACATAAACAGGGACATAACTGGCATCTTAAGTAAAGCCAAGGGACACAACTGACTTAAAGCCATGGACCTGGGGCAGAAAAGGCTTGAGGAGTGGCCTGGGGCAGGTATGCAATAACAACGTCTCTATAATCTTTCCTCAGACTGGCCCCTCTGCCCAGAGCCTCATAGGCCTGCAGCATCCTGTCCTGGAACTTTGACTTCTGAGCCATTGTTCCTGAGACACTGGTCTGTCTGAGGAACCCCACCAACTTCTACCATAACCACTGGAGCCATGTAAGGTTCCTGCACAGGGTATGGTCCCCTGAGGCTGACACCTTACTGTCACCATACTGCCAGAGCTGCTTCAGTGTAGTCTCTGGGGCCCTCCTTCCCTTCCCCTCTTCCTTCTTCCTCACTTCACACATGAAGAAGGCACTCTACTACAGAGGTGTACTCCTCTGCAGCCCAGCTGAGACAGTAGCAGGGAACCAGTCTCCGGGGACTCACTAGAGCATGTGACTGTTTTGGGCCTCCTGTCCCTGTCCCTCCTAAGGGCTGGAATCACCAGACACAGGGGGCCATGGGGGTCAGAACCCTGCTTCTCTTGGTTGCACACATGAGCTGTAACCATCAAGCCATCTCTCTGGCCTCTTGCTGATCCTATTTAAAATCTCTAAATATTCTGGAAACAAGTCTCTTTCCCATCTCTGGGTTAGTTGTTTTAGTCCTATCCTCAGAGCAAATGTTGACATTTTTGATGAAGTTCAATTTGTCTTTCTCATTTCCTTGTTCTTTAGATATGGTTATCATTTGTAGCAGGTGTTTCCCAAAGCCTCATGAATTGACAGGTGGTCATCAGCCAATGGCTGGACTGGGGAGGTGGGGTCTAGAAGGAGGAAGTTAGCTTACTGTAGGTATATAGTTGAAGGGGGTGTTGGGAATCCAGCTACCCTCCTCCTTCCTGGCTGCCACAGCTGAGTAACCTTCCTCTGCCATGCCTTCCTGTTACATGTGCCACATGCCAAAAGCAACCAGGCCAATGGACCCTCTCTGAGCAGGTGAGCCGAAATGAACCTTGCTTTCTTAGAAGCGCTCCATCTTGGGTATTTTGCCCTGTTGAGGAAACGCTGACTCTACAGGTGTTGCTTTCATACTTGAAGCTGAGTGGATTGTCTCTCCTGTGTTAGTTCTGTTTCACACTCCTGTGCCACCCCAGCTCATCCTTTGGTGTGAGGTGTGCTAGGTTCATGTTTTGCGCACAGGCACTGTTCCTCTAACCCACTGCGCTGGCTGGTTTTGTGTGTCAACTTGAGACAAGAGTCGTCAGAGAGGAAGGAGCCTCAGTTGAAAAAATGGCCTCCATGATGTCCAGCGGTTAGGCATTTTCTCAATTAGTGATCAATGGGAGAGGGCCCAGCCCATTGTGGGCGGAGCCATCCCTGGGCTGGTAGTCCTGGGTTCTATAAGAAAGCAAGCTAAGCAAGCCAGGGGAAGCATCAGTAAGCAGTACCCCTCCATGGCCTCTGCATCAGCTCCTGCCTCCAGAATCCTGCCCTGTCTGAATTCCAGTCCTGATTTCCTTTGGTGATGAGCAGCAATGTGAAAGTGTAAGCTGATTAAACCCTTTCCTCCCCAACTTGCTTTTTGGTCGTTGTGTTTCATCACAGCAATAGAAACCCTAAGATACCCACTATCTTTGCCCACATTGGAAATCAGCTGGCTGCATCTGTGTGGGACATTTCTTGGCTCCACATTTTGTTCCATCACCCTTTGGCTGACACCATATTCCTAACCACTGTGCTTGGGCATGCCTCTGCAGAGCAGCCGATGTGAGCCCTGCATCCAATTTTGTTTTCTTCTTCTCAGCTTTTGAGGGATACTAGCTCTCTTTTCTACAGTACATTTCTAGGTTAGCTGGTTACTGTCTACCAAAAACACTAGAGACCCTGGCTGGGACAGTAGAGACCATGCAGGGCTGGCTATGGCTTAGTGGGTAGGGCCACTTGCTTGTCTTGCAGAAGATCAGAGCTCAGTTCCCATACCTACATTGGATGGTTCACAACCACCTGCAACTCCAGCTCCAGAGGATGAGCCCTCCTCTTCTGGTCTTTGCTGGTACCTGTACACACGGGGCACACAGACACATACTCACATATACAATAATACAAATCTTTTGTGTGTGTGTTTGTTTGTTAGTCAAGACAGTTTCTTTATGTGGCCCTAGCTGTCCTGGACCTTGCTTTGTAGACCAGGCTGGCCTCAAACTCAGAGATCTAGACACCGAACCCTGACACTATTGCTGATGTCAAGAAGTACAGGAGCTTAGTATGGCTGTCCTCTGATAGGTTCTGCCAGCATCTGACGAAGACAAATGTAGATAAAGCCAACCATCAGACTGATCCTGGAGACCCCAGTGGAAGAGTTAGGGGGAGGACTGAAGGAGCTGAAGGGGATTGTGACCTCATAGGAAGAACAACAATATCAACTAAACCTATGCCCCAGAGCTCCCAGGGACTAAAACACCAACCAAAGAATACGCATGGGGGAACCATGTCTCCAGAAACATTTGTAGCAGAGGATGGCCTTATCTGACATCAATGGGAGGGGAGGCCCTTGGTCCTATGGAGGCTTGTTGCCCCAACGTAGAGGGATCCTAGAGGTATGAGGCATGGGGGAGCACCCTCTTAGAGGCAAAGGGGAGGAGGGGGTTCAAATGAGGGAGTTGCAGAGGGGAGAGCAGGCAGGGGGACAACTTTTGAAATGTAGATAATAAATAAAACTAATAATTAAAAAAGGAGAAAAAAACCAGAGATCTGCCTGCCTCTCCCTCCTGAGTACTAGGACTAAGGTGTGTGCCATCGCACTTGGCTCAATAATACACATCTTAGGGGGAAAGCACAACTGGAAAGATGTGTCCACAATACAGTCTTCTGACCCAGAAGCACCGCACATCCCTGCCCTGATTTTGATCTCTGGTCATATGTTTCAGTGCTGCATAGTCTACCACTGCACAAGAGGACCTGTGAGATTTATTTAGATTTATGTCTACCTGGTCCGCGGGAGGGGGCTGTCACAAGTGGTATTGCTTTAAAGTAGTTCCCATTGGAGTTGTGTATACACTGGAGATGCCTTCTAATGACCTGATGGTGCCCTGCCTGGTTAATTCTAGGCGCATTTTGGCTCTTAGGAGTGTCCTGTGCAGACAACCATGCTGTTCGACACAACCGTTTCCCCACTTTTTTGGCTGCTGTGTGTGTGTGTGTGTGCGCGCACGTGTGCAGGTACATGTATGTGCATAGGTGTGCCTGCATGTGTAGGGTGCACATGAGTGAACGTGCATATGTGCATGTGTGTGGACCAGAGATCAACCTTGGGGACTTTCTCAGGTCCTCTCCACCTCATTTTTGAGACAGGACTCCGTTGACCTGAAGCTCACCAAGCAGGCTAGGGTGGCTTGCTGGCTTGCTCCTTGGGGATTTGCCTATCTCCACTTCCCCAGCGCTGAGATCTCAAGCATGGGCCACTGAGCCCTGCTTTAAAACATGGAGTGGGGTGCCCACAGTCAGGTCCTCAAGCCTGGGTGGTGCTCCCTTTCCTGACAGCATGTCCTCCCCCTCTGATCTCATCTGATTTCACTTTGATCCCTGTTGACTGATTTGTACTTTTTACATGATTATACTGTATGCTTTTTAAGTGGTTGCTTTACAGTTTGCAAGGACATCTTAAAGCACCCTTGTCTGTCTTTAGATAATCTGCCTTGTCACTCACTGGAGCAGACCCTACCCTCTCAGCACA